GAAACTCCAAGAAATTCCACGTAAAACAGACGGAATTCAGTTTTCAATGGCCGATGCCTACCCCAGCACCATCCTGCGTCGACAGGCCTGTCAGGCGCCTTCTAGACCCGCCTAGCCGGAGGTCGACTGCATGGATCACTGCAAATTGGCTGCGAACTCGCACCCAAGCCATGATGACTGAAAATGGCTTGTCCCACTTGAGGGCGAGGCGACCAGCAAGTCGCCTCTGATAGCTGGCGTATTCGCGATGTAGCACCCCATCCGTGGAACAAACCAGTGGTGTGAACGACCCACGGAGGTCCCCGGAGGCCTGACGATATTTCTTTTTCTTCGCGTTAGCAGCGCGGCTGGAAGTAGCTTCCCAGGATGAATGGGAGTAACTGGGTGCGTTGGCATCAATGATGCGATTATCAAAAAACGCCACCCTGTTTTCCTCCCACACACCCCGGGCAAGCCAATCTGCCCGAAGAGCAGGCTGCCCCGTCCGATCACCCTCCGGCACCATGATCGGCTCGACGACAACACCACCGAATGCCATATCAGCTAGCTTTGCATCGCTATCACGCAGATCATTGTGGCCTCGCTTGATAAGTCCACCGTTCGGGCAGTCAAGGCCGTGCTGGAGAGAGAAAGGCTTCCCGCAACCATCACATTGCGCTGGCAGGGCAAGCGGCTGCCGACCATAGCGGATGGCAAGTTGATCGCGGAATTCTGTACTCGACAGATCATACCCCTCGCGCTTCAGGGGCAGCACTGTAAGCCATCCGGAGGCATTTCCCCGTACGATGCGGGAGAGGGTGCGCTCCTCAAGCTGTGGCAGGTCACTGAGAATTGATTGGCTGATTTCAGCGGAAATCACATCTCGTTCCCTGCTGATTTGGCTTGTGATGCGGCAACAGTGAGCGCTGTGATCATTTACGTTTATTGGGTTACCAGATTGGATTGAGTTGCGCAGGATGTCAGTAGCGTTTCTCGAATTCTGGTAAGCCTGGGGTGCTGTGTGGACAGGATCGGCCAAAGCCAAGCCACCATACTTGACTGGCAGGGTGAGGAGCTGGTGTTCCCGAGGAAGTACCTCCCGCCCAAGGATGGCTGGGGCAAATTGCTCCAGGATGACGTCTCGAAGCGGAGCAAACTCCTCCCCAAGACCCTGGACAACTCGCCGCAGATATGACCACTCACATGAGAGCGAGCGATTCAACTCACAATACGCCGACTGGGGGTATTTCCTGGCAGCAACGGCAAGGCAATTGACACTGCTCACCCACGTCTCCACTCTCTCCTTGACAAACGATCTCACTCCGTCAGGTTCACCGATACAGCCTCCTAGGAAACGGGCGGACGTGGCTACTTGGATGTTCAGATCCCCAAAGATATCATTAGCTTGCTGAACGAGATCCGGGGAAACAATAATGATACTTGTTGTCGGCCCAACTTGGTAGCCGAAAGCTCCACCCTGATCGATAAGGCGGTCGAGCCACTTCCTGATGTTGCGCAACAGTCCCGCACAAGAAGAATCATCAGCGTACCAGTTTTGGGTGTGCTGGCTGGGTTCCTTCAAACTCTCAATCAGAGGGTGCAGACCAATGGCATACATTAGCATAGCCAGGGGACATCCCTGAGTAGTACCTTCCCGGCTGAGAAGGGTATGGACCTCGGATGTACAGGAACCTTTCAAGTTGATCACAGCATACCCACGGTAGGCGTTGAATAGAAACCTTGCGCATCTCGGCCAGAGCACCCGGCAGTTCCATAGGGCCGCGGGACGGCTTAGCCTGGTATGGGTACCGGGTACGGGTACGGACAAATCCCTGGTGTTGCTCCTTTTTTTTGTTCCTTTCCTTTTTATTTGTTTTTGCTGAGAAAGAAACGTTGCTGGATAGAAAGCTTTCTGTTCCCGCCAGAGCCTTTGCTCTAGTAAAACATTGCATAAGGTGAAGGGAAGCTGGGTTTCTTGCCATTTCCAACTTCCTGACTCTGAAAATGTAGCTTGAACTAAGAGCTCCCTGTATTTTAGTTTTTCGATGTGCCAGGCCTATTGTTACGAGCTCCAGAGATGAGGAGCAAGGGAGGGGTTGGATTAATGCCAAAAATGGTGTTCTGGGCCCGGACGACGCCAGCGGTTTTCACTTGTCAAGAGGACAGCCAAGGCTTCTCTGCTTTCTCTGCTTGGCTCATGCCCGACTTGCATCCTGCTGCCTTTGTCATTTGCTGACCGAACTGTCATTGCCTAGTCATGTCGGGCACCAGGAAGAGAACCCGTCGCGCAGCACCTAGCCCTGTTCCCGACCCACCTGTTTCTTCGGCTGCGGACCCCGAGCTACCGAGTAGCGCTGCCTCACCACTCGACGGCGGACAATTCAAGCAATTTATATCTGACGAAGTCCAGAAAGCCGTCACCGCCGCCCTGGCAGAAACGGTCTCCCCACTGCTTGCCACAATCGGATCCTCGCAGCCTTCCCCCGCCATGGCTGTACCCACCGGAAATGCTGCGCCAACTGGTCCGGGTGCTGGCTCTCTATCTCATCCACTGAACGTGCCGTCTCACGTGAGAGAGAGGACTTTGCGAGGTGAGTGTGTTGATTTGAATACACTGTTACCGGAAGCTCTTGGGGCACCAAAGCGTGACACGATTCAGTTGAATTTCAGTGGGTCCAGGACTGTTGAGCTGCTGGATCCCAGCTCTGGCGGGCATGTCGAGAAAGTTCGTAGGCATGTTCACGACCTGGTTACATGGCTAGAAGCCATGGTCCAGATATATGTTCGTACTATGCTCGCACGCACCCAGCCGTTTCTCCGAACTGATGGCATATCAGGCCACCATTGTATCGGCCAACTCCTCATAGTATCCGGAGGCCTGGCTCGAATATGACCGGGAGTTCCGTCTGGCAATCTCTCTTGACCCCAGTAAGCATTGGGACGCCATTGACGGCAATCTCTGGCAACTGAAAATGACAGGCCGCTCACGCCCGCAATGTAGCACATGCCGGATCACTCACCCTCCATCGGGTAGCCAGTGCCCTTTTCGTGCCTCCCGAGTAACAAACCAGCAGTTTGCACCACGGTCTGTCTACACCAAGTCTGGCAAAGAGATCTGCCGGAGTTTCCAGCAAGGTCGATGCTCCAACACCGACTGTAAATTTGCCCACGTCTGCTCCCAATGCGAGGGTGCACATGCGCGCCCCTCCTGCCTGCGTCGCTTCTCCACTGGCAACCAGTGGCAGAACAAAGCTTAATGAACTCCATCTCGATAGTAGCATTCTCCGGACACACCCTACATTCTTTCACACTTGCCGCACACCTATTCACGTTAATCGCCTCCGTTCCTTACTGCGTGCACACCCCGATCAAGCTTTTGTTAAATATGTACATCATGGCCTTACGTATGGTTTTGACATCGGCTTCAATGGCCCACGCCAAAGCAGTATGTTCTCCCCTAACTTACCTTCTGCGAGGATGCATCCCGATTTTATTACCAAATACCTGCAAGAATGTTGCTCCCGCTTTGAACTGCTAGGTCCTTTTTCCTCCTCGCTTTTTTTCTTTTTTTCATTGCTCCGGTGTTGGCTGCGTTCCGAAAAAGAACGGCAGCTTCCGTTTAATCCACCATCTCTCTAGCCCAGAGGGTCAAAGTATTAACGATGGAATTTCACGTGAAGATTTCAGCTTGCATTACATCACTATTGATAACGCGATCGATGCAATTATGCAGTACTTTCGTTTTGCTTATCTTTTCCAACTTGACATTCGGAGTGCTTTCCGCATTGTATCTGTGCGGCAGGAAGACTGGCCTCTGCTAGCTATTCACTGGCAAAACCAATATTATTTCGACACTGTGCTCCCCTTTGGCTTACGCTCCAGCCCTGCCATTTTTAACTCTATTGCCGACTGCCTTGAATGGATTGCTCGCTATGAGTTTTCTATTACTGACCTGCTCCATTATCTAGATGATTTCCTTCGCATTTCTCCATCGGAGCTGGTGGCGAAGCAACGTGCTTCAATCCTGCTTCGCTGTTTTAACTATGTCCAAGTCCCCTTGGCACCTGACAAAGTGGAAGGTCCAGCTCAAGTGCTGTCGTTCCTGGGCATCGAGCTGGACTGTGGCAGACTGGAGGCCCGGCTACCAGACACCAAGTTGCAAGATCTCCGCACCTTGCTCGACCAGTATGTCAACCGTGGCGACATGACCCAACGCGAACTCGACTCACTATTGGGAAAACTCTCCTTCGCAGCTCGGGTAATTATACCTGGTCGGACATTCATGCGCCGACTCTGGGATATTTGTAACCCAACAGTCAGCCACACTATAAGATCAAACTCTCAGTCGAGGCCCTGGAAGACCTGAAGTGGTGGCAACGCCTCCTCTCGCAATGGAACGGAAAGTCCTTCTTTCATATGCCAAATTGGACCCAGTCTCCCGACATCCAATTGTTTACTGATGCCAGCGGTTCGATTGGCTGGGGCGCATGTTATGGCCATCGCTGGATCCAGGGACATTGGTTGCCGGAACAAGCCGACTACTCCATCGAGTGGAAGGAGATGTTCGCCATTGCCGCAGCTTGCTCCTCCTGGGGCCTTGAATGGCGCAAGCTCCGCATACTCGTGTACTGCGATAACGAAGCCGGAGTGGCATGCCTGTCCAATGGTTGTAGCCGCTCCCCCCGCCCCCCCCCCCCAGTCATGGATCTGATACGACGGCTGTTCTTCATGTGTGCTAACTTTGGCTTCATTCTGTCAGCAAAGCATATTCCAGGATGCACTAACAAAGCCGCTGATTCTCTGTCTCGTTTTAACATGCAGGCGTTTCGTGAGGCGGTTCCGGGAGCTTGGGCGACAGCCGACCTATTCCAGTCATTCTAACTGCCGCGGACGAATTAGCAGCACGATATGCTGCTCACGCTCTATCCGACAACACCAGACGAACGTATTCCGCCGGCGAATCTAAGTATCTCAAGTTCTGCCAACTTCAAAGACGGTCCCCGTTTCCCGCTTCAGACCTAATGCTGAGTAGTTTTGCTGCCTCCCTAACCCAGTCGGTCAGACCAGTGACTATTAAGGTTTACCTCAGTGCTATGAAGAACCTGCACCTGGAGCTCGGTTATGTCGACCCGACCGAGGGCGCGCACTTCCTCAAGCGAGGGTTACGCGGTATTTGCCATTGCCATGGAGTAGCCGCTGTCCACCCCAGGCTGCCAATCACGTTTCCTATTCTCTGCAGTCTGGTTGACACCTGCCTAGCTGCTCCAACCATGTGCCCTCACGACAAGCGCTGCCTGCATGCCGCTATGCTTGCCGTGTTCTTTGGTTTCTTCAGATGCGGTGAACTGCTAGAAGCACCTACCACGCGCGGCTGTTTGACATTCGAGTCAGGGATGCTCCATGTGCACCTACCACGCTCGAAGACAGACCCGTCCGGGGAAGGTACGACCGTGCTGATCGGGCCAGCGGTGCCGCCATACTGCGCTGTGAGAGCCATGCTCACCTACCTCACTGCAACCGCCTCTGCTCGTCCAGGCAGTGCTGTGTTCATCCTGGCCAACGGGCAACGCCTCAACCGCAGCACTTTTACAGCCCACGTACGCACGCTGCTTAACACCAGCGGCGTGGCAAACTGGCAGGACTATACAGGCCACAGCTTCAGTATCGGGGCCGCTACCACTGCTGCCCTTGCTGGCATCCCCGACCACCAGATCCGCTCCGCGGGGCAGTGGCGCAGTGATGCATTCCTACGCTACATCCGGACACCACCGTCATCGGCCCGAACGCTGGCCAGCAAACTATCCTCAGTAAGATCATCTCCCTGACACCGATGTTTCTCGATTCACACAATTCCCTCATAACGAACTATGCTATGCTGCACTGCAATACTGTTGTGTATGGGTATGGCGGTATGGCGAGTCACTCATAACTGGTCTGCCTTTCTATTGCGGCATTATGGCCTTATGGTCCTGCCTTTCCATTGCGGCAATCACAGCCTCCGGGCTTCTGCCTTCCTGTGGCAATCACAGCCTCCGGGCTTATGCCTTTCTGCGGCACTCGCAGCCTCACGGGCTCGTGCCTACCTTGCGGCAAAGACCAACCAGTTCCTCGTCACCAGTACTTACCCAACACAACCTAGCCTTATTCGTGTGGTGTATGCCTGTCTGCATGCCGTCTGCGAGCACGCGGAATGCTAATGATGTATGCCTGCCCGCATGCCGTCTGCGTGCGCGGAATGCTAATGCCAAAAAATGGTGTTCAGGGCCGGACGACGCCAGCGGTGTTCACTTGTCAAGAGGACAGCCAAGTTGGAGCAGGCAGGTGATAGATTAATTAACTTTGAGCATTTATAGCAGAGTGGGTGGCTTGCCAAAGTCTCAGTACCTCATGGTTACTACTATGTGACAAATGCCTCTTATTGCTAGTCTGCATTAGAGCATAGCAGAATTGATCATTTCACAAGTAGAGTGAAGACTTGATGTCCTACGATTATACTCGGATCATGTTGCTACTTCACGGGAATATTCCCCCTGCAACTGTACGCTCTCCCATAATTGCATACAGAAGTCACGTGCCTGTCACAGTGTGCAAGGGGCAACGCGTTTGCATTGCTTACGGATTCAAGCGGATGGAGTGCAGACAAGATAAGAAGACATAATTCGGCTATTCAAATAGCTTGGGCTGCTATTAATTGGCTAGACGCCTGGAAACATGGGCAAGAATCTAAACCAGTCCACGGAAACAATATCACGCCACACAGCAAGCTAAATGGCAAACCAATCAAGTTCTATGGTAATGAAGCCGTTCAACAACATGGTCCGGTTGCATGCATAGTGTCGCTCAAACAAGATCAATGGATGTCATTTGTACCTAAAAGATACGCTGTCGATCAACCACAACTCCACTACCACTGAGGAGCGTTTTCCATACAGATCCAATTAGATATTGAAGTACATGTATATGAGTCAACGTTGCTGGTAGTCTCTCCTAATGACTGCGTACTTGGCATAATGTTATATACTGCACTCTAGAGCTACTTACCTTTTCCGACATTTAACTCAGCCAGTGACCACTCGCCCGCAGAATGAGCCAATTGACACAGAAGCTAAGTACCATGTGCATCCGTCGCAAGTTAAACACGCAAGTCTGCAAGTGAAGTGGATGTACACCCACTGATTTTCTCTTATGCCGATATCAGACATGACCTGAGTGAAACGTATGAAGACTTGCACCACATTTCTGCACAATTACATTATAATTATTGCGAGGCCTTGTGAAATGATTCTCAATGCACACCTGGTCTACGCCGCACGGAATACATTGGATTATAATGGCCAAGACAGCTGCCTATGTCTCTCTCTCTCTCCCTGTCTCTCTGTCTTTCTCTCTCTGTCTCTCTCTCTGTCTCTCTCTGTCTCTCTCTCGCTCTCTCTGTCTCTCTCTCGCTCTCTCTCTGTCTCTCTGTCTCTCTCTCGCCCTCTCTGTCTCTCTCTCGCCCTCTCTGTCTCTCTCTCGCTCTCTCCGTGTCTCTCTCTGTGTCTCTCTCTGTGTCTGTCTCTCTCTCTCTGTCTCTCTCTCTATCTCTTTCTCTCTCTCTTTCTCTCTGTCTCTCTCTCTGTCTCTCTCTGTCTCTCTCTGTCTCTCCTCCCCCCTCTCTCTCTATCATATATATCTCTCTATCTACTTATACCCAATCTGCGGACAGAACTGTTTCGTCCTTTGTGGACTCATCAGCGCAGCACAGAGAAAATGAGGCCGAACCTGATTGCAATGAAAAATAAATTTTCCAAAGCCAGATTTAAGCCAGGGCCGTACTTTGCCAAATATATCTCTCCATCTATCTCCATCTTTGTATCTCTCTCTTTATCTCTCGCTTTATCTTCTTGAGGACACACTGGGTACAGACCGTCTGACGTGTCCCATGGTTTCGCAATTCTCCACCTATCAACTCCCTTCTGTGTGTGTGTGTGTGTGTGCGTGTGCACGTGCATGGGTGCAGGGTATATGCGCACATATCTTTCTCTCTCTCTCTCTCTCTCTCTCTCTCTCTCTCTCTCTCTCTCTCTCCCCCCCCTCCTCTCTCTCTCTCTCTTCCTGTCTTTACCTGGTTTGTGAATCGGCTTTTTGAATCGTATTTGTTTTCGGCTCACTGCTTTATGAGTTCACCTCAGTATACGTTTTTCTGCTGCTACCTACTTATATTATAGTAGTTGCCTGATGAACGTGTGAAACGTGAAACTCAAGAGTTGTGATACAGCTTCCAATCTCTCTTATGTACTTCAGTATTAGAAAAAACAACGATCGAAATCTCTCGTGTCTGTGTGTCTCTACATGTTTCTATGTCTGTCTCTCTGTCTCTCTCTATTCTATCAATCTCTCTCCCTCTCTCTCTCTCTCTCTCCGTATATCTGCCGGCCTGTCTATTTCTCGTCTGTCTGTCTCTCTCTATTCTATCAATCTCTCTCTCTCTCCGTATATCTATCGGTCTGTCTATTTCTCGTCTGTCTGTCTCTCTCTATTCTATCAATCTCTCTTTCTCTCCGTATATATATATATATGTCGGTCTGTCTATTTCTCGTCTGTCTTTCTCCTTCTGCCAGTCTTTGTGAGTCTGCCTGTCTGTGTGCCTTTCGTCTGTCTATCTCTCGTCTGTCAATATCTCGTCTGTCTGTCTTTCTCCTTCTGCCTGTTTTTGTCAGTCTGCCTGTCTGTGTGCCTAGATGTTTCTCTCTCTCTCTGTCTATGTGTTTCTCTGAGTCTTCGTCTTAGCAGTTTTGTCTGACTGTCTGCGTTTGTCTGTGTAACTCTCCAACTGTCTCCCTGTCTAGGTCTGTCTGTTTGGCTGTCTCTGCTTGTTTCTCTATGATTGTCTGTCTTTCTTTGTCTGTCGGCCTGTCCCTGTATTTATGTCTCTATTTCTCTCTCTGCTTCTATCCTTCTGTATCTTGATGTCCATCTCTAAGTCTCTTTTTCTCTGTCTCTGTCTTCTTCTTGATCTGCCGCTCTCATTCTCATTGTTTTCTCTGTCGCTCCCTAAGGACCCTCTGTCTCTGGCTCTCTGAGTCTTTGTGTCTGTCTCTCCTTTTGTCATTCATTCTGTGTGTCCCTCTGCTTCTGTCTCTGTCTTTGTCTTAATGTGTCTGATCGTCGGTCTCTGTCTGTTTTCTCCTGAGTCTGTGTGTGTGTCTATCTCTCCTGTTTTTTTCTTAAAATGTTTCTCCCTCTCTTCTGTCTCTGTTTTTCTGGGTCTGATCGTCTGTCTGTTCGTCTTTGTCTGTCTGTCTTTGTCTCTTTCTCTCTTCGTCCATGTCTCTGTCTGTCACTCTTTATGCGCATCCCTCTGTTTCTGTCTTTCTGGGTCTGTATGTCTCTAGCTCTGTACCGGCCGCTGTTCTGCACATAATGAAATCGTGTGGCACCACACACGTGGCTGTATATTTACCTATGCGTGGGACATTCACACCCAAACACACACACACACAAACACACACACACACAAATATACACACACACACATATAGACACACATGCACACACAAATATATATACACACACAAATACACACACACACATTATACACACACACACACACACACATACATACACACACACAAATATACACACACACATACACACATACACACTCGTACGCTCGATCATACAAGTACCGGATACATGTAGTACTGCAGAAGTCACAACATAAAACGCCTTCCGCTCTTCTCTCTCTGTTTCTCTCTCAATCTCTCTCGCTATGCCTGCCGCTGTGCTATCATAAAGCTACAGATAGTGAAATTGTGTAGCACAGAACACGTACATAACTGTATATTTACCCACACGTGGGACATTCACGCATGCACACCCACACCCACACACACACACATGACCTGCAGCAAATAACATTTCATAGCTACAAGACCTTGAAAGAAAGTCATGGTGTCAAGAAGATATACAATGTCATGTAGAAGGATAATAGTCAAACAGCTTGCTGTCTAGAGCAAAATGGCAAGCGAGAGTCTCTACTTTTTAGAGTACAGTGTGTGGGTAAGCAGACAAGCTTAGTTCATAACAAATTGATAATAAAGTGTAACCGATGCCGTCATTGGATCATGTGTGAGCGACCAAAGAGGCGTACATCACATGTCATGTACCACTATAACCACACACAAACGTCCAGGAGAATTTCAAGTACCGATGGATCTATCATGCTGCCGGGGATCCCTCATATATCTCATACTGTGGTATGTAACCCTCGGGGAATTGCAAGGACCTAAATTCGGCAAGCAAATCAGGGACATTAGGTGCAAGACCCGTTGTTCTAGTTGTCTAGACTACACTGTATTCTTGAACATACTGAGCCTCCGCGTTGTATCTGTTAAGACATGTGGCATCTGTTGATCTCGTTTGAGTAGCAGTAGTAGGCATGCACTGCATTACGTTTCGATAAAAGGTTTGATAGCTGATGAATGAGTTTATCAGTTGGCTCCCTGTGTGGGTATTGTTTCTGTGGATTGGTTCGGAGCAATGTTCAGATGGGCCAGGCACCTGGCCAACTAATAATGGCAGTCCAAGCTAGTTGAATATCCGGATCACTTTTTCTCAACTGGTCTACACTCCATCCGCTTGCATCCATAAGCATTCAAGCACGCGGTCTACACTCCATCCGCTTGCATCCATAAGCAATTCAAGCACGTTGTCTCTTGTACATGTACACTGTGACAGGCACGTGACTTCCGCATGCAATTCTGGCAGAGCGTACAGTGGCAGGACGAATATTCCCCTGAAGTTGCCCAAATAATCTGTCATCTGCCTGCTCCAACTTGGCTGT